TACATTAATACAAGAGTATGAAAAAGCCCATGCATCTGTCAAACAAACAAACAAACAAACAAAAAAACAAAAACAAACAAACAAAAAAACATCACTGAGACGGTCAGCCATAATGTAAGGTCACTGCTCAGCAAAAAACTGTGACCATTAATCTATAGATATCCTTCTATGCAACACTAACATACCAAGAATATTCCTCTCTCTCAAATGCCTTTTTCTGCAACATTTCTTTCAGCCGAACAATAAAACAACAGGCTTTTATGTCCTTGCACAGACCAGTCCCCTGTTCCTAACACCAGCCACTGAAAAACTGCACACGGAAATCTCCCTTTCTTCAGTCATCATCAGTTATTAACATAAAGAGATTACAGCTGTTTTCCGGTCAATATCATCTCAAATGGACAAAGTCAAGACTGTAGATTCAGAAGTAAAACCTGCCATTGAAAGGATGTAATTCTAGTTACCATGACACCATAAAAAGCAAAAATTATCCTTATTTTTACTGCCCATTTAGAACATACAGTACATCCTGTTCCAAGCTCAAACACTATAGTAAAATTTTTTTCATCTTCCAAGAAAAAAGCAAACCCGTGACCCATTTTTAAAGATGAACATAGGTGGAAGCAGTTTTCCATCTAAGCTATTTGCGAATGCAACAGTGTTTCTGACTAGCACCGCGAGATCTGCTTTGTGATATTTGTGTCTTGTTTCTGACCTTTTCCTTTGCTTTTACGAGGCTCACGGGGCTCACTCTTAATGTCCCGTTTCATTAACAAACACAGTCCAGGAGACCTTTTCTTCAAAGACATGTCTGAAACAGTCTACCACGTGGAGCCTTACAAACCACAAAGCTCAAAACAAACACTTCAACCACAAGGCCACAGAGACAGAGCCACCATTAGTCAGACAGATCACAACATCACAGTCACTTAAGAAAGAATTAACTGTATACAGAGACTTAAAGATGTCAAGTGACACGAGTATGAGGATTTGCATATTTGTCAGTAGTTAAATGTTACTTATAAAGGGGGAAGAATTTCTGGAATATCTTTAATTTAATATGTTTCAATGGGTTTAGAAGAAACATATTTTACTGCAGTTCAAGGTTTATAGAGATTTCTAAAAAACTTATAACTTATAACTTACAAATTGCTGAATGTCAAAGGGTTGACTTGCTCGATTATCAATCTACTAAAAATGGACTAACCAAGCAATATTTTGAGCCAGGATTTGGAGCAGCACATTGATCATACTTACTGTTTAATATCTGTACTTAAAGGTGCACTGTGCAACTTTTCTGGTGGAGGGTCCGTCACCTGCTTGTCTCAATGGAGATGTTATTGCTTTCCCTAGAATTTTCAATGGTATGACCTTAAACATTTTCATCTATGGGTGTTTCTATTGCTAAAAAATACAATAATTCCTTCTGTGAATGGGGGTTACGCTCCACAGATCTGAATTGTAATTTAGCGTAGTTCTGTAAGATGCTTGTCTCTCTTATGATAGATAGGTCAAATCTTTACTGCGGAACATTCTAGATAAAGCAATAACACTTCCACAGAGACATCAAGTAGTAAACTCTCCACTAGAAATGTTGACCTGTGCACTTAAAAAAAAAAGATAAACATTTCAAGTTACTTTTTTACAAAAGCAAATACAAGAGCCTGTGAGCTGGTCAGTGCCAATTCCAGCCCTGCAACTAAGAGGCTGCTGTCTAGTGTCAACCTTTCAATTTAAAACTTTCTAAGACTATCAAGAAACACATTTGACTATTGATATAAACCAGGATATAAAAGCTGCATTTCCTCATGAGTAGCATTGTAACTACTGAAAACAGAAGACTGCACTTTATCTTATACTATCCATTTTGCTATGCTCCTCTGGATTTAAAAACACAGCCATACTCTTGGAATGAGTTTGCTCTGTACCTAATCAAATCTGCAAACCTAACGATTTAAACAAACATCCACTTAAGTTGAGCCTTTAATAGAGATACATAACGGGACAGGTCCATCTCTGTTTGTGGCTCACTAGCACACACTCACCCATAATTCTCTTGCTCTCTCCCCAATACACACCTAATGCTCGCTGCCCTGAGTTCAATGTACCAGAAAAAAACACTTCAGTAATAACAGTTATTTTAAACACAGTCATTATAAGAATGCACGAGAGCACATGGGCAGGAAAAAATAATGATGATACTGCAGTGTGTAGCCTTCAGTAGCAAAGGAAGAAACAAAGATTTTAGTACAAATATAAACGCAATTACTTCTCCGGTAAATGGGCAGAAAATTATAACACAGCGCAGGGGAAATAGTGCACTTTCTTATTCTATCACCAAAATGATCGTCCTACCAGTTCACTTTAACAGCTGTAATCAGTTGTCATTATTGTCTTGCCTATTGTGCTGTCGGTGCGGCCATTATTTGAATAGATCAAAGGCCGTATCATCACCGCAATTACCGGTTATCATTACGAGCTCTGCACAACAATACGAGTCTGCAGGCATCAAATACACTCTGTTATTCATTAAATGTGTCACATTCCTGTTAGCTTGCATCCATTTGCATAACAATTTTATCTAGCTGCTGAAGTTGTATAATGTGGACTAAAGTTTTACCTGTGTATGTGGACTGACAGCATGCTATGAAGTGACAGTTATGTCTATGAAGCATAACATTGTACTATTAAACTGTAAACTATATTGTATTTGGTGAACTGTGCAACTTTTCTGGAGGGTATGTGCTGCTTGTCTCCATGGAGATGCTCTTGCTTTGCCTTCTACATTCAACAGTATGACATTAAATTTATCTGTATCTGGGGATCCACCGGTTTGATGCTGATATTGATACTAAAAAATCTGCTGGATGAGATCATCGATTCAGCTATTTTTTCAGGATCATTATATTTTTTTCAGGTTGAACATATGAATTGATGTAATAACACTGTTTCTTGGTCATTGTAAGCCTCACATTTAGATCACATCTGTTTTATTTTATTTTTATGTACAGGAAATAAACACTGTTTTCACTCTCTTCCCTCTTATCGGTGGATATTGGATACTGGCAAATACTTAAAGATATAGTATCGCAGAGGTGGGACCAAGTCTTTGTTTTGCAAGTCTCAAGTAAATCTCAAGCCTTTGACCTCAGGTCCGAGTCAAGTCCTGAGTCAAATACGGGCAAGTCCAAGTCGAGTCTCAAGTCACTGGCCCATAAGTCCAAGTCCAAGTCGTCTGCTTTGAGCTTCATGTAATTGAAAGTGTTTAAACCAAAGTACCAAATATAGCTTAGATCTTTGCAATTCATACGACTCTTAAGATAAATTGTACTAAAAAAAATCATTTTATATTTATAGAGTATATAAGAGTTGTAGAAATTAATTTAGTTCATTTTTCCTTTTTTAATCAACATGACATTGACAAGATCTTAATGTGAATCATTATGGTCAGAATAGAAAGAATTAAGATTTAAAAGTGCTTCTCAAGTCTTCTCAAGTCACAGGCCAAGTCTCAAATCACTGACCTTCAAGTCCAAGTCAAGTCCCAAGTCTTAGTCCATTTTATTAAGTCCTAAAAACAGTGACTGAAGCCTGACTCGAGTCCAAGTTACAACTTGCAAGTCCCCACCTCTATAGTATCGGAATCGGTATTGGAACTGAAAAAGCTGAATGGATGCGTCCCTAACTATCTCTGTAGAAACAATCAGGTGACATCACTAGGCAGGTTCCTGGTCAGATCTGAGGAGAGGTGAGTCCACTCTCTACATGTTTTTTCAATAATTAAATTGTTGAGCAATAAAAACACCTGTAATGAAAGACATGTCATAACTATGTGCTTGAAATGCTCTACTGTGTAACATTCCAGGCAATGCAATAACATCTGAATATAGAAAACAAGAAGGTGATGTATCCCCCACCAGAAAGTTACACATTGCACCTTTAGTGTTTAACCTGGTAGAGTAAAGGTTTAATAAATCTGACCAGCCGCCTGAATACTATAATGATGATGGTAAGACAGTACATTACTGTTTACTTCAATATTCATAATACTGCAATGCACTGTGTATTCTGACACCTTTGTACCAGCAACAACAGACTCGCTTCTGTAGCTCAAATTGTCAAAGGTGTTAATGCTGATTCCAGTAGAAAGGTGTCCAAGCACTGTGCATCACGATTTACTGCATAAGTGTCTGTTGCATATTAGGCATATTAGACGTTATATTATGGTCATTAATAATGCAGATAGTGTATCAGACGTTTTCGACCAGGTAAATCAAACGGGCAGAGCATATTTGTCATTGTCCCTAACTGGTATTATTATCTGTAATATCATTAATTTTACTTTAAATATCAGGTGACTTGCATTTCTCTTTTGCTATCAATCAAACATATTACAAGTTATAAACTGAAAAGCAATGTAAAATCTCCCCAACAGAATTTGTGCATTATGAAGGGAGATTTTTCTGTAAAAGACAAAAAGAAAGTGCATAGAAAACTTGCATACATTAAAAATAGATAATAGATGAAGTATATTAAAGGTCCTCTTGGGAGTCTTGAGAGCTTTTAGCCATGTTATAATGCTGTTTCTTCCTCAGAAAAAACATACCAAGGGTTGTTTTTGGTTTTATTTTGCACATATTTGAGTAATGCTGTGTTATTATTAGTCTGTCTTCATCTCAAAATGCTCTGTTCCACCTTGTGATGTCATGAATTTCCAAGTTAACAGCTACTTTTTACATTTTGTTTTGTTTTGCTTTGTTTTGTTGTTTGTAATAATTGGCAATTCCAGGGCTGAAATTACTCAAATGATTCAAGTAAAGGGCTATGGAGTTTAAAAACAGAGTGGAACAGAGAAAGAGATGAACTCAGCCTAAGGATTTGTATGTGAATGAAACAAAACACAACTCCAGGTATGTTTTTTGAAAATATAGATCAGAAAATAGCGTAATATAGGGCCTTTAATATAATGTCGTCTTGTAGATCATATTTAAAATATTTACCTGTGCATCTACTAGAGTAGCATTGGCCAGTGTCTCATTGATGAACACATGAACCAGGGCAGTGGCGCAGAGCGAGGGGATCCCGCTGTCGTTAACCCGGACCACCAGCCTGTGCAGCCCTCTGTGGCGGCGCTCCAGAGGCTCGGCCAGAGTGATGACTCCATTGGTGTGGCCGATCTCAAACAGCCTGAAGGGATTTCCTCCAACCAGGGCATAGCGGAGGTCTGCGTTTGGGCCTGTGTCTGAATCTATGGCGGTCACTGTTCTGACGATGGTGCGTGCGCTGCTGGCAGGAGGGAGGAGGGTGTAGGACTCATTGGCAGGAGATGTGACAGAGGGGGCGTTGTCATTCTCATCTGTCACAAATAAGGACACAGTGGCGGTGGCAGTTCTACGTGGTTCTCCTCCATCAACAGCCCTGACTCTAAAGGTGTAAGTGGCAAGCTTTTCACGATCGAACGAATTGGACGAAAAGATGGTCCCGGTGTTGTTCTCAATGGAAAACACTTCTTGGCGTTCCTTCTCCTCTCCATCTCCTTTCTCTGCTAACTTCTGGTCATCCTCATCCATCTCCACAAACAGGCTTAGTTCTGCATTTTCACCTTCGTCTGCATCTGTGACAGTCACCATGCCAACAGGGCTGTTAGCTAGAAGATTCTCCTTGACATAGAAGGTAAAAATTTCTTGGACAAACTTGGGGGCATTGTCGTTGCGATCCGTCACCAGCACGACAACAGTGGCTGAACCTTGCAGAGGAGGGGTCCCTTTGTCTTTAGCGATTACTCGGAGTTCGTATCTTTCCCGTTGTTCTCGGTCCAGAATTCCATTTGCGCGGATATCGCCATTGTCGGGATCTATGTAAAAGGGCCCATTTCCGGCAGCATCAAGAGAGTAAGCGATCTCTGCATTCTTGCCACTGTCTGCATCAGAAGCTACAACTGTTAGCACCCTCTCGCCTGGTGAGTTGTTCTCAGCAAAGTGGACCTCAACGACACTTTGGGCAAATGTCGGGGCGTGGTCGTTAATATCAACCACTCGCACCATCAGGGAGCTATTACTGGACAGACTTGGGCTCCCAGAATCAACTGCTACTATGGTAACGCTGTACTCTTTGGTGGTCTCATAATCCAGTAAGGCAGAAGTGTGCAAGAAGTACTTTTTCTTGTTTCTGAAAAACAAAAAGCAATTACAACTGAAGGTCATTCTGTTCAGAAGATCACATAACCTTATGTTAGAATGAATACAGTCAAGAACAAGTATCCATCTCATTGAGCAATATAAATTTTTATAAGACTTATTAATTTTACTTATTTTATCCATTCAAGTGCTTAGGGAAATATTTTCATTTGATGTAAGAGCTGTGACATTTGCAATCTACCCCCACAAAAGACAAGTTATTAAAAAGTATAAAAATCCTTCTCTAATGATGTCTCCAGTTTACAGATTGCAGAGCGATATTCTGAATACAAAGCAGTCTTGTCAATATTTGTTTTAAAGTGCTCCACTTGAACAAGCTTAACTGAAATCTGTTCATGAATATACTTGAAATATTTGAAATTATTTTTAAATGGCACTGTAGTTGTAACATAAAACCTTTACATTTACATTAGTTTGTTACAATTGGCTCAGTAATGAAATCACATGAACATAACACTATATAAATGTAGCTATACATTACATTTGGAGTCAGGGCTATTTCAAATCAACATACCTACATCATGTATGTGGTATCTAGTTTGAAAGTGACAGAAATGCCTTCAGAGGGAACCATCTTTGTGGATTTTATGGACTATTAATGGGAGCCTAATGACACAGTGAAAATTTCTATCACAGAGGCATTAGTCTTGAGTTTGGCCCCTCAGGTATAACATTCCACATCAAGCCGAGGTGAAATCAGGAATGCTTCATTACTTTCAGATTAGTGGGACACTATTAACAGCTTGCTACCTTTGCAGTAAACACAGCTACTACACAGTCAAAATGAATAAATACTATTTACAATCTTCAGCATCACATATTAGGCCTGTAGTCGATTTAAGAATTTCTTGGTTCACTGAACACAAGCCCTGTGCATTGATCAATCGATAAACGGGCTTTGCGCTGGCACTGACAAAAGCTCTCAAAATTATTAGAATCACACAAAAACATCTATACATATAACTATACATGCACACTTTAGTCTTAAATAGCATCTGTAGATTAAAGGCCCTATTATGAAAAATTGACTCTTGGGAGCTTTAAGTCATGTTAGAATGTCATTAGCTCCTCAAAAATCATACCTGGAGTTGTGTTTTGTTTCATTCACACATGTGTGAGTAATGCTTTACTATTAGTTTGTCTACATCTCCAAAACTCAAAATGCTCTGTTCCACTTTGTAGTGTTGTAGTTGTAGTTTTCAGGTTAACAGCTGCCTTTTACATTTCATTCAGTAGAGACTTGGCAGTTCCAGATCTGAAATTATCCAACTTGATTCTAGTGAAGGTGCATGAGGTTTAAAAACACAGTGGATCACTTTCTGTATAACCACATGACGTCATACGGAAGGAATGTTTTCTTTTTGAGAGAAGAACTCAGCCTAAATTTGCAGGAGTTGTATGTTGAACATCTATGAATGAAACCAAACAGAACCTCCAGGATTTTTTTTTTTTTGAGAAAAAAACAAAACATAACATAGATCAAAAAATATCATAATATGGGTGCTTTAAACAATTCAGTCATCCCCAAAGCCCCAGCTAACTCAATCCATGCATTCTCCTTTCTGATGTTGTGCATAAATCCTAATAATCTTTAAAAAAATGTAATGACTGAGACACCATCAACTGATTAATCGGCTAAACTTAAGAACTGGCCTTAGTACCAGAGTGTTTTGGCTTTGAAAATGTACTTTGAATGTCACTTACTAGTTCTGTTTAAAAGCCTAAATACTAACCCATTAAATCTGTAAGCACTCTCCTGACATTTCCCTATTTTAAGATTTTAAGCCTGCTGGAACCATTTGCAATTTTCTCTCCACAAAAACAAAAGTCTAAACCAATTAAACTCCACTAATGCCACATCATTAAGGCAGCTCTTTGTTCAGGTGTGCCCCGAGCCATGGTGAGAAATGAAATCCGAGCATCTTTTAGGGAGAAGAACACAGCTTTACAATGGAACACAGAGTCAATCTGGTGCAGCTGCTTGAGTGAAGAGGCACGTTTATCTGTGATCGGAGGAGAGCTTCTTGTGGGCCGGCTCAGGCAGGTGGATTACAATTCCTCCCATAAACACAACACTACAGAGTTTGCTCTCCTCTGCCGACTACTGTTGTTGTTGTGGTGTTCAATTTCACCACTAGGCCAAAACAAACCTAAGTTGACTGAAGTGGGGCTGGCAGGCATGAAAACAACTTTGAACCACTTTCAAGGATCTTTTGGGCTGGGTGGGGGCCGTATTTACTTTGCTGCTTTTTACTCCACTCACTGCACAAACTGTACTATTAAGAGCAGTTTTATTAGAAGTAGAAGTAGTAGTGGCAGTTGTAGTAGTACACATACTATAAGGAGTAATAGTAGTAGTAAAAGTAGTATGGAAGCTCTTAATTTTGGCCACTATGTACCCCATGTGTTGTTATTAAATGTACTGTGTTCAGATCTCACCTGTCAAAGGCTTCATCAGCGGGCAGAGGTGGGAGGGCAGTCTCTCCAGCTGGCTTTAGGGTGAAAGGCACGTCCCCCACCACAGTGCACGTCACAGCCCCGTTCTCCCCCTGATCTCTGTCTGACACCTGCACCAGAGCTACAGGTGTGTCCACCAGAACATTCTCTGGAACCAAAGCTGCTCCATCCCGAACTGGAATTCTTCCAATTTTCCTGATTTCAACACTGGGGACATTATCATTCTCATCCCTCACCGACAGGACTACAGTGGTGCGGTCAGTGCGTGGAGGTTGACCTCTGTCTCTGGCGGTCACTGTGAACCTCAGCTGGGCTACTTCCTCTCTGTCGATCCTGTGGAGCACACTGAGCCAGCCTGTAGCTTCATCCAGACGGAGCAAACGGCGCACAGACTCAGTGGCAGCCCCAAACACATACTCCACCTGTCCATTCACACCTATGTCTCTGTCTGTGGCTCTCACCTGGAGGACAGGTGTGCCGGGAGGGGCGTTCTCTGCCATTTCAGCCTCGTATGTAGCCCGCTCAAACTGTGGGCTGTTGTCATTGACGTCAGTGATGGAGACACGCAGTAGAGCCTGAGAGGAGCGGGGTGGATTTCCCCCATCTCTCACACGCAGGTAAAGTTCATATGAGTCTTTTTGTTCTCGGTCCAATGTGCCCTTTACAATGAGCTGTGGTTGCTTCTCACCATCTGGTATATCTGCCACTTGGAGCTCAAACACACTGCTCCTGGGACCAGCAGTGTCTCCACTTCTGCCCCTCCTGTCTCCTTCCACACGGGTGTTGGTGGTACCCCCCACTGTGCGCCTGGTGGATGTGGGGACAGCTGCCCCATCCTGGATGAGCTCATATCGGTCAATGCCATTTTTACCAAAATCTCTGTCTGTGGCAGTGGGCAGGAGGTACAGAGTTCCTATTGGCCGGTTCTCCTCCACAGAGAGCTGTAGCACAGGTGAGGGGAAGGAAGGGGTGTTGTCATTGATATCTGTGATGACCACTCTGCCCTCAAAAAGGTCAACCCAGCTCTGGAGAGGCCCAATCACTGACACCTCAAAGTCCAGAAAGCACTCATTCTCATCAAAGATCATCTGGCACTGGGGCAGTTTTTCTCGGTCTATGCGCTTTTGGCCTGTGGTCAGCTCCCCAGTCACATTGTCTATCTTAAAGTATTCGGAGCCACTCTCCAGGGCGAACGTCACATCCCCGCTCCCTGTGCCTGCAGTCAAGCCCAGGTCTGCGGCCACGTTTCCAATCTTGACGTCAGGGGGGCCCTCCTCCGCCACTCGGTACCGGAGAGCTGAGTCGGCAAGCGGTAGCTGAGTCAGCAGCTGCAGCGCTAGCAGCACGAGGCTGCGCGGATGCACTGCACCAAGCCTCTGCATGGCTCCTCGTGGCTGTGGTACACCCGGTCTGTTCTTGGGTAGTGCTCAGTGGAGTGTGCACCTTGCAGCGTGGGCGGAGTGACTTTTATCCGTCCGCTCACACCGCGGACTTGAGCTTTACTTCTACGCTGCAGCCTCCTCTCTCCTCCCGGTACACTCTCTCCTCCCCGGTACTCACTTGTGCCTTATAAAGTTCTACAATAGAAATCCCTTTGTTTTACCAGAGCGCTGGTGCAATACATGAATTAAAAAATACATCCCGCTGTGAGAAGAAAGAATGTGAAACTAATTCACCAGTCTTTGATTAATCCACCCCAGCGTCCTTTCTTCTTTTGCCTTTGTCAAAACCGCAGCGCTGTCCCGTTGTCGGCTTATCACTTTATAAAGTCATTTGAAACTTATTTTTATTCCAGTCACATTTGGGACAGCGGCTTTTTCACTGTTCGAAACTGCAATGCAGCACCGCTACACAAAAGAACACTGTGCTTTGCTCACCGGACAGTAGCGCCAAAATCCTCACATCTCCGGCGTGTAAGAGGCAAAAAGACACTAAAGTCTGTGGATTTGTGCTTCTTGTGATCTGATTTTACCTTCAGATCCAAGAGGCTGTTTCAAACACACCGCAGTAAAGCAGCGTGCCAAGCCAACGGATTCCTTCACGCAACTTAGGCGCAGACAAGACTTTCTTCTATAAGATTCCCTTCACCAAAACGAAAGCTTCTCCCGTGCTGGTGTCCTCACTCAAACTGCAGATCCGGATTGTGGTTTCAGTGTGAGCGGAGCATAGTCCTTGCGCAGCGCTCACTCGGGATACATGTGTCGAGTGTAGATCATGCGTCTGTTTTCCGAAGAGTCCCGCATTCTCTCTCTCTCTTCCACTCTGACTTCCTCCCTCTCTCTCTGTCTCTCTCTCCTCCTCTCCGGGATTTTTTTTTGCCTCTCACCTGCACTGCTCGGGACTGCTGCTGCTGCTGCCGTGAGCGCTGTGGCGATGCTGCAGTGTCTCCCTCTTTGACTCGGACTCCACTGCAACACTCGCCCTGCGCGTAACTCGAGCGCTCAGCTGAAACGGGAGAGGCAGGCGAACTCGCATCAGTGTGTGCGTGTGCGCGTATGCGTCGGTTACCGGGGGACAGACCTCACCCCCACCTCCACCTACTCCATCCCGGCCCCTCTTGTCCTGTCATAGAGTGAGATTAAATGGCTCTGTGTCCCGGGCCGCTGACAGCTCCTGGTGGGAGAATATCTTTGTTCACAATATTCATACAATGGACAAAAGAGGAGCGAAAGCGGCGCTGCCTCTTATACCAGTCACTCACTGATCAACCAGATTCTTGCTGCGGCAGCTCTTTTACCCGGGACAGTGGGGCTTCATTCACTGTTTTCTGATGGAGAGGGATACTGTACACGCGTAAAATGGGGGTTTCTATCATTCTGAGGGCAAAAGCAACTTGTCAAAAAACGCTTGTACTTTATAGCCTGTGGAGGTTACAGTGTCATTGCATTCATCAAAATAGACTATTTGGACACGTGATATGAAGTACATAATTAATAAACTACTGTGTAAGTCATTCTTCTGCGATTGCGATAGTTTTGAACCTTGATTATTGGAAAACGACACAATTAAATAATATAATATAATCAGAATTAACTAATAAAGATGGGAAAAACATTTATAAAAATACGCACGCCCTGTATCACATGCATGCCGCAGGCCTCCAGAATGCTCACAAATAAGCCATCCAATCTATAAATTAATTAACACAAAACAATTGCATTATTGAACAGCTAATAGACCTTCTGTAAACAAAATGAGTTTACATACATTATCTTTTAATGTATGTAAACCGATATGAAAAGCAATAAAGCCAATGTACGGTACTATTGACTGTTCCGTGCTGTTTCCCTCAGCACCGCCCCGCTCTCACAGAGTGGATCGCCCCTTACACTCTGCTGCTTGCGCCTGTGTGTCTCAGTGGAGCGCCATGCTCCGAGGAGCGCATTGCAGCACTGCTCTGCTGCTGTATTGAACAGAGCTCTGCTCCGCTCTGTGTGGAGCTCTCCCTCTGCATGTATAATGTCTGAGGCAGCAGCGCGCGGCTCCTTCTGCTGGACTGTCGACACAATGAAGTCACGACAAAGGCTCAAGTCAACAACTTCAGATGCAGTTGGGAACAATATAACATTTGGAACCAAACAAAACAACTACAAAATTCTTATAAGTAAACTTTTAATTTGGAAATTCAGCAAACTATAATCTCCAAGAATTTCTTAACACGATGCTCTGTACAGATCCAAGCTGGAGACTGGTATAGAGAGTACTTTATATAGCGCAAGATGACTAGACCCTTAACTACAGCTGCAGAGCAATGAGACTTAATGGGAAAAGGCACATATGGTAGACAGCGAAACACAGCAGGCCTACAAATGTCAGGCTCATGTCTGTGATGCTCCAGCAGCTGAGATATTCTGCGTCATATCATCTCTCACAACATCACATTTTTATGGGAAGAAACTTGAAGTTGCACGGTACTGAAGTACACAGTACTTTTCTGGTGGAGGGTCCATCACCTGCTTCTTTCCATAGAGATATTGTCCAGAATGTTCCACAGGGATAAGTTACAGGTCAGATCAGTGGAAAGGTGAGCTCACTCACAGTAAGAATGCAAGTTTTAGGTCAATAAAAACCCATAGAGTAAATGCAAGATGGATACATTTAATGCCATTCCGGGACATTCCAGACAAAACAATAGCATCTCCATGGAGACAAGTAGTTTGGGGGACCCTCCACCAGAAAAACTGCAAAGTGCACCTTTAACTCTCACATCACGTGTGTGCCAGAGCAAATGAAAGATGTAATAAAACTGAAAATGAAAAACATTGATGGGTATCAGGTAAAGGATCCTTCCTTATTTAAAGGAAACAGTCTAACAATTGTCTCCATTGTTAAAGCAATGACACAATGACTCAAATTCAATTATTTTGTCTTTTGGCAAATGTCCTCAAAAATCCTAAAAATCAGAATGGAATAATGTTCCTGTAATCCATGAATACAAGTAAATACCTTGGATAGAAACAGTAATACAAGTAATACCATGCAGTACTCTTATGTGACCTTGCATGTGGAATTTCAGAAAGTTAAACAGAAACCAAGCTAAACCATTTTAATTGGTTTTATGATTCAAAAGTCAAATATTTAATGTTGAGTGCATACCTATCCTCTACAATCATGCTATGAATGTACATAAATCTACTTGCATTTAAAGTCTTGTTCTCCAAGACTAAGATCCCTCTCGTCTGACCCTCACAGTGTTGATTTACTTGGCAAGCAATCACAACCCATGGCAGCTGATACTTTGCAGTGACATTACAGTGAGGGTGATCTACATGTTTCTCTATTGGTGGAAAGTTACCATGGTGACAAAATGCACACATTTGGAAGCACAGACAAAATAGTTTCAAGAAAAAAAATACAAAATTGATTTAAACAACACATTTTCAAAAGTCTGTGATCAGTAAAAGTGTTCATGGTCCTGTTTACTTGATTTCTAACAAACATATGAGCGTGACTAAAACTATTGCCTTTCTTGTGACTGTAATGTTATGTGTGTCATGTGTGAGACTTGTTTAGCAGCAGAAAACACTTCACCTGTTGTAGTTCCAACCAAGTCAGATTATGTTAAAATACAACTCAGATTAAAGTCCAATTTGAGTAACAGCGCTTTAGACAGAGCAGTGCCAAAGTTAGCATCACTTGTCAGGGAATGTTGATGAGATCTGCTGCAATGTTAGAGCAGTCATAGTGAACATCTGGGGAAGGGCATCCGAGTTTAACTGAAGATATTAATGTGAGCCCGCCACAGCTGCAGGTCAGGTCACTTGACTTTTGCCTCAATTGATTTGCGACATTTAAGTCACATTTGACCTAATGGGAGAAAAATCATCCAATATAAATCGGTCGCCCTGTTACATCTGAGCCATTAAGATATAATTGAGCATGAATCCTCTTTCATCAGCAAATGAAGTGCAGTTTCAATTTGCATATTGAATGAAAGTGAATTGTGTGTTTGTGTGTGTGCGTGTGTATGCGTGCAGACATGCTTGTGTGTGCTCTAGTTAAAGACAGGATGTTCTTTGGAGAAACATAACCTGGCGTGACATCTGCTCTCGCCTAAAGGCCTAATCTAAAATGTTGATGTCGCCACAAAAAGGATCACAGCCTCGCCACCTGCCCACCGGGATGACAGATAAGGCCCATCAAGTATTTAGGGGAATTTGCACCCGCAACTGCCAAATAACAAACAAGCCATTTGTTCATTTCATAAATATTAGATGATAACGTGTTTACTTGTAACCTTTTTAAGATGCCCCGCTAGTCACAGAGATAAGGGGCCGCTATTAAAGGTGATTAAAAAGTCAAAGCTTAAGAGCAGCGCATTCTGAAGTTGGACATGGTAAAATATGTTAATAAAAGGAATGGGATGAGACATAATTTGTCCGAGGTGAGACCTGTCATGAGATTGGGCCCACCAGATCAAGACAAGATGAGATTTTGTTATAATTTTTAAAGGAGCACTATGTAACGTTTTGGGTGGGGGTTCGTCACCTGTTTGTTTCTATGAATATGTCATTGCTCTGACATTAAACAGCTCTACTTTACATTTTTTATATTACAGGTGGTTTGATAGCTAAAAAAATACATAGAAAAGCAAGCATTCCGACTAGAGGTCTGCGCTGGACAGAATTTTCAGTCCCACTCCCGTCCCGACCTGCATTGTGCAGTCTTGCTTCCACCCACTCCTGCAAAGAATTGTAATTTTCAATCCCGCTCACGCCCGCATCTGCGATACTTTGTCCCTTTCCCGCCTGCAAGTTCTGCAAGTCAGGATCTTTACTTTCTTAAGCACTATCAAACACGGAGAAGCAGAAAGGAATTGTCTAAAATGTGCGTGATATTAGACCACATCCACAAGTTTAGGCTGCTTAAAGTGTTTTTATTA